GGGGGGGGGGGGGGGGGTCAAAAAGTGCCTAAATTGTGTGATACCTTTATGGACAGCCCCTTACAAAAAAATCCTACTTTAAGCTTTCCAAGAGTTAGCAACCCTATTCTAAGAACAAAAATCAGGTTTTCCAAACTATTTTATACACATTTGAAATAAAACTTCTTGTTTGTAGATATTTAACCAGCAAATATTACTAAACATTAATATATATATATGGAAGAAGGTATATTGAGAAAAAGATGGAAGAGACACATTTTGTCATACAAAAATATATGCACAAAGTATCAGTTACCAAATACCACACATAGTTGGTTTATATCTTCAAACTCTGGTCCTCTCTTTAGTGTAAGAAACACCATCATAATTTGTTGAAAGTAAGGTGAGAAGAAAAATTTAATGGGATAAACAGAGAGGTAGTGGATGAAGAGTGGATGGGTGGGTAGGAAAATTTTTATGGCTTTTTAGCAGTCCTCAAAATTTTATGGTTGTGAATCTATTCAAATTAACAAAAACATACATTTGAGCCAAAAGTTTACATATTTTAAAATGGCAGAAATATGACTATGCATATTGAACATCCTCAAAAGTAATATTGCACAAGCAAAAGTATGTTGAAATCTTCTTGAGTAATATAGCAGAAATACAGCTATGTATAACATCTTCCTGAGTATAATATAGCAGAAACACAGTTATATTGAACATTTTGAAGAGTAATATGACAGTAAGCAGTCTGTGTTAAATATCTTCATGAGTAATAAAGAAGAAACAGGACTATGTTGACATCTTGAAGAGTAATATAACAGGAATATCTTCATAAGTATCTGTCAGGTTTTTATATGTATGGATGGGCCAGATTTTCTACAGTAGCTAGGTGCCTGAGACTTGTTGGCGATAAATTTGACAATGAACAAACAGCACATAACCCACTTATTATAAAGTAATATATTAAAACAATCTGTGATAACGTCACTTTAAGAATCACTACTATATACTCTTTATGACTAAATGCACAATTAGCAGTCTAGATCTACCTAACTATCTATCTAACTATGTCTTACTAACTCGAACTATACTTTGTATGCATATTTATGGGGTGACTGAGGCCTAGAACATTCTAAACACTATGAGATATTATGATGCAATAATACTTAATCAAAACAACGAGAAAAACCTAGAAGGTTCTAGTAACATGATGTGTTAATACAACAAGTGCCAATTCACAACAATTGAACTACACATTATATGATTCATACACAGTTAGATAAACAAACCTGTGATAATAATGGCTGGAGGCGGCTTAAATGGGTAATGAAGAAAAACTTTAATATAAGCTTAGTATGACAGCAAATGTATG